AAGTAAACATGACTTTCTGCATGCATTCAACAATACATAGCATAAAAAGGAACATAATAGGTGCAAAAAGTTATAGAAGAGAGGACACACCCCTCGCCCATTGTCAGCTATGCTCACAGAACCATCTGGATGTAAAATAACATCCATGTGTGTGGCATAACCTGCTTGCGCCTCATCAATGGCATTATCCAATATTTCATAAACCTAAGGGGAAGAACCATTAACCCAAAATAAAGGGTCTTGTTTCTTCATAGGCTAAGATAGACCATCAGAACAACAATAATTCTAAAAACATGATTAGAAAAACAAGTTACCAAATGGTGCAGCCCACGAGGTCCTGTACTTCCAATATACATTCCTGGCCTTTTTCTAACAGGGTCTAAGCCTTCCAGTACCTAAACAAGATAAAGACAATAAAGCCTCAATCTCCAACAAGATTTCACAGCGACATTCAGTCAAAGTAGCCATGTCTGATGAGTTACTGCACTATCGCGTTAATCATACATTTCTGATGAAGTACACTAATCTATTAATATAAAAGCTCAGAAAGTACATATTTAGCTAAATTACCTGGATTTGCTCAGACCCATATGCTTTCGAGCTGCTGCTGGTTTCCTGAAAAGCTGAATGCTAGCGCTGCGTTTTTGTGTCCCCTTTTTGGACCCCAATATTTCGCATTTCCCTCCACCCAAAATCTAACTAAAACCCTGCCGCTTCTTAACACCGTGTTTGTTTCTTCAATGTATCAACGGGATTATTCATGTACTACAATACAAATTGTACTTTTAATCTATATTATATATTAAAAATACAAATTTAATATTAAAATTATTAAATTATTCTTTATAAATAAGTATAAAATATTTTTATTAAATAAATTTTAATAATTTCAATAATTAAACTGCACTTTAAAAATTCACATGCAATGTAACATAATTAAACTTTTTTGTTCATCTCGATTGTCGTTTTTTTAAGTAAGAGCACAATATTACATTAGAAAGTGAAAATCTAGACATCTTATAAAATTATTTCAATATTATTATACTAATAAATTTTTCTTAATTCATTAAACATATTTACGATTTTTTATTATCATTTATGATATTTTAATTATCAAAATATTCATCTAACTGTTATGATGGTCATTTTTTTTAGGTTTATTTAATTTATGCTCAAATATATCTGTTTATAATAAATTTGCATTAGAAAAGCTAATTTTTAATTAATTAATTTTTTAATTAAATTACTTCACTTTGCATCAATACTAAAATTAATGTCAATTTTTCACAAAAAAAAAAATTAATGTCAATTTTTATATTTTATTATAAATATTTATAATATAAAATGTTCTTAATTTGTATCTTAAAAATGATAAAACTTTTTTTACATCTTATAATAACTTATATAAAAAAAACACCTCTCTATTTTTTTTATATTCTTACCCATTTAACTTAAGGTTTGAAACTTGAGTTGATTATTTTAAAATCTTGGGCTTCACCCCACTGGAGGCATGAGGATCTTCTTGCATAGCTAGCAGGGTGGCCTCTCAATTACTCCAAATTTAATAAGTAGGCCAATTAAGTTAAAAATGATTGAATATTTAAATTTTAATTGTTCTTACTAAATATTTCAAGCATTGAAAGAAACCTCCGATTATAATTAATGTTCATTTAAAAAAAGATTCAACGCAAAAATAGAGCTAGATGAACAGTTTACTAAGCCTCCTAGGACAATAAATGATTCAATAAATTGTGATTTAGTAGAAACC